TAATACAATATATATATATTGTATTAATTTCCTTAGTTAGCGTCATGTTAGTTGTGATAAACGTCTGGCATACATTTCAAACATTATTCCATTTTTGAAAATCGTGAATAATTGATTTAATTATCTATAAACCATTAGAAACTTATCAAGTGCACATATGTTGTATGTGTATTTATTTTCATTTATATGTTATAAGAATTTTGGTGATATTCTCCATGAACCACGTCGTGGTTGGATTGCAAAATAACACAACGGAGAATGTTTATTGTAAAAAACATATACAGTGGATCATTTGTGAGCTGTACGAGATTAAAGAACCACTTAACGAATTTCTCGTAAAGAAACCACTGCCACAGCCATACTTTAAAAGAGTTGTTTATATTCATTTTACTGTCACGACGGTACTTTGTGGGCTGTTTTATAGAATTTTTACTGTCATAAAAATAATTAGTGAGGTGTCTACAGAGAGTTTACTATCAAAGCAGTAATTAGTGATCATCTACAGATTGTTTACTGGCAAAACAATAATTAAATAGTCATTTGTAGAATGATAACTGTCGAAACAATAACTATTAGATGGTTTGTAGAATATTTACTGTTAAATCATTAGTTATTGGATCGTCTATAGAATGTTTGCTGTTAAAGCACTAATTAGTAGATCATCTACAGATTTGTTTACTGTCCATACAATAATTAATGGATCGCCTTAGAGTATTTACTGTCAAAGCAACACTTAGTGGGTCATTTGTAGAATATATACTGTCTTACTTACAAAATGGATAATCCAATTACAAGGTCTAGCGAGGTAACTATAAGCTTCACGGCTCCAGAGCAATTTGGTGGTGAATTTTGATATTTCTGTGGATGTGTGTTAGGACCCATTGAAGCTCTACTAAAATTATGCCATGATTTTGTAAGAGGGTACAGTGGGGATTAATTTTGAGGTTAGAAATAAACAAATCTATTTCTCCATTAATGGGCAGATAGGTAGCAACAATACTTCTTTGAACTGAAAAATATATTTATTTTTGCGGAAGCATACCTGTATTTACCAAAAACAATAAATTAAAGTTCGGTAAAGCATCCTTCATTTCAAAATTTAACTTACAACTCTTAAAATACCTAAAAAATGCCTACTAGATATGTTAGCTATAAGTTTTGTGTGATAATCATGAGAAACAATAAGTATTATGAGGTGGAATATTTCAAGATTTCATTCTCTATCTTTGTTACATATATGATATGTACATTATAAGTGTACTTACATTATACAATGTATCACTAAACATGTGCCTTTACATATCTATTTACATGCCATCTTTGACTAAGTTCCAGTTGCAGTCCATTCTATTTGAAAGTGGCTTACAGTCAACCTACACATTTTACAGCAGCGTTAGCTTAGTAAGAGAAATTTTAGATTTCATTAAGTTAAAATCAGTCTTATTTCTCATTTTTCTTATACGTAACGAGTCTCTTTGATTATTATATCATTGTCCAGAACCATAACACAAAATATTATTCCTCAGACAAAGTGTGCGTTATGTAACAAATGGACCTTATAAGTAGCCACCAACGCTATAGGAACTGATGAAAGCTAAAGGCAAGGTGGGTACATCATTTTAAACTCTGCCTTAGCCCACACTTGCCATTATGCATCAAGCCCGATGAAATAGTGATAAACTCTCTTTTTTCTTCTTCGAATTGTAAAGGCGCACTATGTTTGAAACATTTCAATGTGGACACATAGCCAGTGGTGCCGAAGAAGTAGGGGTGAAAGAATAAATAGGGTAAGGAGTCATGAGTGGTGACAGGATCGGTCGGTTGCCATCGGCAGCGGAACTTAATGGTACTGTTGTAGGAACCCCAGGAAAGAACGTCGCCGCAGTCACTGGCAGCCCGAAACCAAAGTTGGGTAAGAGAGGTCTGGCAGTCATCCTGAGCTTCTCCAACTCAGCTTCCTTTAATCTCTTCTCCTTGGCTCTCCTGTTTTGGAACCATATTTTCACCTGGGTCTCTGTGAGGTTCAAAGAGCTCGAAAACTCGGCTCGCTCTGCGATAGAGAGGTACTGTTTAGACCGGAACTTTCTCTCCAGGGCCAATAGTTGTTGAGTGGTAAATGGGGTGCGAGGCTTGCGGTTGCTCTTGTGCTTCCGTAGCTGGCACTTCACGGCTGGAAGTTTAGGGGTCTCTTCAGATTCTGGAAGATAAATCATGTAAGTCACAGTACAAAGAAGGTGTAAGTTGACGAGACCTTAATCTAATACGTTAGGTGTGTAGACACATCTTTCATAAATGTAATGAGTTTATTTCATTGTTCATGATCTGAGTTTATTTTAACAGGTAAAATATGAAAACAGAAGGCTTTCCTTTGTACATAGAAGATATAAAATGAAGATCGGTACATGAAATTGATTTTTTAACAATCAGACCACGTAAAATGTATTGCATAATATAGTAAAAAGTTAAGAAAGAGTTGAAAAAATCATCAGTAAAGCTCTTGTTTGTTTTTGAATTTCGCGCAAAGCTACACGAT